AACCCATTTCGCTCACACTTCTCCGCCCCTCCCGCCCGGCCCACGAGGGGAGCGAGGCCCCGGCCACCGCCTGTCCGCTGTCCGCTGTCAGGACAGTCCCAGGACCTGGGCAGGGCCCGCGGGGGGCGGAGTCGGGCGGCGGGTGGACGGCTCCCTGCCTGGCTCTCCTGGATCGGGCTGCTGCCTGTGGCCTGGGATCTCCAGCCCTTTGTCCTCGCCCCAAACCCTAAGGGTGTTCCCAAGTCCCCAGCGGGACAGGGAGAGGCCCTGGAGCTTTGATCAGCTCCCACCTGGGTGCCCGGGTGCGGAGAAGGCATCTTTGTGCTCCTGGCTCCAGGATGACACTGCCGTGTTTGTGTCTCCGTGGGCGTCTGAATGTGTATCTGTCTCTGCTCGTGGGTGTGCATGGAGCATCTCTGAGGATTGGCGCAGCCAGTGCACATTTTTCTGTGCCTGTGACTGTGTTTTCCTGCGTAGGAGTGTGTGTCAGGTTTTGTGTTTCCAGTGCGTGATGTGAGGGACTGTGTGTGCCCACAGGTCCACGCGGACCTCTCTCTGGTGACGTGGGTGTGTGAGCCTGGGTGTGCATGTGCATGTGAGGGTGCACGATTCTGTGGGTGTCTGCTCTGGTTGTGTGGGCTGTGCTTTCTTGGGAGGCTGCCCGTGGGTGTCTGTGTGTGCGCCACTGCGCCTGGCTTTGTATCCCTCTTCACATAGAAGCTGCTAAAAGGAGGGAGAAGGTTGGGGAGCGGAGAGTCAGAGAAGATGGGAAGATCAAGGCATTGACATGGAAGAGAACCCTGGGCTGGGGAAAGACCTTGGGAGCAGTGGGAGGATTGCTAGCTAGATTAAAGGAGGAACTTCCCTAGAGCACAGAGGGAGGACTCTGGAAGCTAATAAAGAAAGAAGAAGGGATGGGTTGTTCCTGCTTTGGAAAACCCTAGAGACTTCTGCTGGCTCCTGTGGGAACAAGGGCAGAGAGAGTTGCCTGCTTGCTCAGGGCCGATGGGTACACACATATAGAGGACGCAGGGGGGCTCCCCTCTCGTGTCCATCCTATGCTGTGCTCTCTGCCTCCTTCAGCAAGGGGACTTCTTTAGTGCCAAGGGTGCGATGCTGGCTTTAAGTCATTCCCTCTCTTACCTGGTAGACTCCATTCCTCCAGGGGGACAGGGTGGGGCCTGGGATGCTCCTGGGTAATGAGCATGGACTTGGGGGGGGGCAGGTCAGGAGGCTTTGGGGAGAGAGAGTTGGGTTATAATCTCCTGGAGTCTTGAAACTCCAAGAGAAGACCAGGCTCAGTGGCCTGCATTTGTAATCCCAGCTGCGTGGGAGGCTGAGGCAGGAGGATCTCAAGTTGGAGGCCCAGCTTGGCAGGGACTCCTTTGTTTGGGTGGGGAATGGTAGGGTACTAGGGACACAGAGTGTGGGCTAGACGAAAGGACATGGCTCTTGGTGGGTACCTGCTCTTCACTGCCCCTGGGCTGGGGCCCTGCTATCCTGGCGTCAGGGTGGTTCCGTCTGAGAATGACCATTTCGGAATGTATCCTACGGTCTTCTGAGCTGTGGCCAGTGAGCTCTCCCAGGGCTGAGCTCTTGAAGATGGAGAGAACTGACTCCTGTCAGGGTCCCCTGCCGCTAGCTTTCCCTTTGGGCTTAGTCTGTCTCCTGTTTATTTTGGAACTGAAGATTCAACTTGGGGTTGCCTTACCCCACTCGACACTCTCAGCCCTTTCTATTTTTTTTTTTTAAATATTTTTAGAGGGGCTGGGGATGTGGCTCAAGCGGTAGCGCGCTCGCCTGGCATGCGTGCGGCCCGGGTTCGACCCTCAGCACCACATACAAACAAAGATGTTGT